CAGTACTCGGTGAATCTGCATCAATTCTTCTCACCGAGTTAACAACTTTCGTCAACAATTGCCTGGCTGGGCGAATCCCAGAAGAAATTAAACCTTTCTTTTTTGGAGCCTCACTATGTGCTTTGAAAAGAGGGATGGGGGAATCAGACCCATTGCAGTTGGAAACACTCTTCGCCGTCTCGTTGCCAAAGCAGCAGTGAGAAACATTCGCCTAGAAGCTGCCACTTTACTCCAGCCACACCAACTGGGCTTTGGGGTCTCTCAAGGCAGTGAAGCTGCAGCTCATGCGGCAAGGGCCTACATCAGGGACCTACCAGAAGACAAGGCCATAGTCAAACTTGATTTTAGAAAATGCCTTTAATATGGTGAGAGAGATGCTGTTTTGCCAGCTGTTCGGTTCGGTTCCCCAGTCTCTTCCCTTCATTTCAGCCGGCTACAGCAAACCCTCAATTCTTTTGTTTTGGAGAACATGAAATTCAATCATCAGAGGTGTTCAGCAGGGTGACCCACTTGCTCCACTTCTCTTCTGCTTGGCAGTAAGAGAACTAACTTCCAGCCTACGCAGTGAGCTCAATATATGGTACCTGGATGACGCACTCTGGCAGGTACTGAAGAGTCCCTCGTGGGGGACCTACAACTGGTGAAAACACAGGGAGAAGGCTTGGGACTCATCCTCAATCCCTCTAAGTGTGAAATCATCACAGCGAACCAGGAAATAATCAATGCTGTGCGAAGAATCCTCCCGGAAATCTTCAACTACAACTCCGTCCAACAGTACCCTCTTGGGGCAACCGCTGGGTCACCAGGCCATCGATACTGTCCTCAGGACAAATTGAATGACCTTATGAGAATGGAGGAGAGAATAAGCGATCTTGATGCCCATGATGCTCTGTATCTCCTCACAAGGTGTCTTACTATGCCAAGACTCACTTACTTCTTGAGGTGTGCACACTCTTTTGACAACCCAACACTCGATGAATATGACGCACACCTGAGATCAACTTTTAAGAAGGCACTGAACCTGTCACTAGAGGATGAGCAATGGGATCAGGCAACCCTCCCAGTGCGACTGGGAGGTATGGGGGTGCGTAAAGCAACGCATGTTGCTTTACCTGCTTTTCTGTCTTCGTGTTTGGCTTCCAGTGCATTAGTCAAGAAGATAGTGCCCGAACGCTTGAGAGACTTGGTAGGAGCTCAAGACCCCAGGTTTACTGAAGCAGCAATTCGGTGGGACACCCTTACAGACTCCTCCAGTAGACCAGCTCCTCCCAAACAGCACAAACATCCCACTGGGACAAACCGATCATGGAAAAAATCACCAACACAATGCACTCCAATGCTTCAGGAAAGAACAAAGCTCGTCTCCTGGCAGTGAAGGCACCACACTCAGAGATTTTCCTGTTAGCTGTTCCCAATCCTCCCTGGGCACCCGTCTCGACCCACAGGCCATTCGGATTGGTGTTGCTCTTCGCCTAGCCACCCCCATCCTCACCGAACATAGGTGTATTTGCGGCAGGGCGACAGCTGATCAATTCGGACTCCATGGTCTCGTGTGTCACACAGCAGAAGGGAAGTATGCCAGACATGAGGAGATCAATGACATAAATAAAGAGAAGCCTCGCCACAGCCCGTTGCCCAGCTCAACGGGAACCCCAAGTACAGAGGTCTGATGGAAGTCAAAAGCGTCCTGATGGAGCCACTATGCTACCCTGGAAGGATGGAAAGCAGATTGCCTGGACTACACCTGTGCTGCCACATTGGCAGACACCTACTTGCCATACTCTGTAGTGGAAGGGGTGGAGCTGCCAGCCACAGGGAGACCCAGAAGATCCGAAAATATGAAGACCTTCCCCCTTGCTACAACTTCATTCCAATAGGGTCGGAGACCCTTGGAGCATGGGGCAAGTGTGCTCTAAAGTTCCTCAAAGAGCTGGGTGAAAAGCTCATCATAGAAACCAAGGACCACAGTGCGACCAGCTTCCTCTTTCAGAGACTCAGTGTTGCGATCCAGAGAGGAAATGCCTGCAGCATTCTGGGCACGCGGCCCACCGCAGGGGAGCTGGACGAAGTATTCGAGATGTAGCTCTGAGTTACCTATGTTGTTTTACTTTGTATCATATTTTTTGTGAATGTTTCGTCAATGTATTTTGTCTTTAAATAAAATATATATACATAATATAGGGGGTGGTAGGAGAAAATTCTCAAACAGCTTCAGGAGAATCTTGAGTTTTCCCTGAAGCAAGTTTATTCTTTTCTCTGAGGATGAGGGTCCCCATGACAGTTCTAGAGGTGGTACCTCCCTATAATATATATATATAATATAATATATATATATATAATATATATATATATATATATATATATATATATATATATATATATATATATATATATATACTGAGGTATATTCTCGGTGTATATACACTGAGGTATATACAGGTGTAGGGAGGTAACAAGCCTGGTACAACCAGCCTCACCTGAGCCAGGCTCAGTACACCGCCACACTCCACAAGGGAAGGTACTCACGCTCTCTCTTCCATCACGAGACCGTAAAATTAATCGCATTTATACAAATTAACGCAATCATACACTGGAAACCGTGGAATACCATAGACTATGTGATATCAAGGTAGTGTAATGAAAGCTGGAGTAAGACTTATATTAGAAAGAATATAAAATTTGTATTAGGCTGGATAAATTAGGCGATATATGGTGAACTGGAGTACATGTGATGGTGATGGCCAAGTTTACCAGACGTGTCCAGAGATGCTGAGGCAGAAGTTACAAGATACGGTAAGTATAGCAGGTCTCACGTGTTTTAAATATATATTAAGATTTGTGGAAGTGGGAGGGGAGAGTTATGGGTTGGGGGTTATGTGGGATGTGTTGTGGGAGGATGTGAGAGTGATTGTGGGTGGGGGATTGTGACCCCCCGCCACTGTGGTAACAATAAGCTCCGTAAACAAAGCATATAGAACACTGGGTTAAACTAATTCATCAAGGCGTGCATAAGGGACTTTGGACTCTATAACCAATTGACCATACACGTGTTTACACGTGTCAGACTTTGTATACATGCACGTACTCATGCGACTTACGTGGTCTACATAAACATGTCAGCCTTGTTATACATACAGGTGTGTTACATATTCTAGTCTATACATATACAGCGACTTACCTTATACGACCTAGAAAATGTACAGAGAACTTTCACGGCGCGCATAACGGAGATAAAACACCTCAATTACTGGGAGCGCTTGAGGTTCCTAAACCTGTATTCCCTGGAACGCAGGAGGGAGAGATACATGATTATATACACCTGGAAAATCCTAGAGGGACTAGTACCGAACTTGCACACGAAAATCACTCACTACGAAAGCAAAAGACTTGGCAGACGATGCACCATCCCCCCAATGAAAAGCAGGGGTGTCACTAGCACGTTAAGAGACCATACAATAAGTGTCAGGGGCCCGAGACTGTTCAACTGCCTCCCAGCACACATAAGGGGGATTACCAACAGACCCCTGGCAGTCTTCAAGCTGGCACTGGACAAGCACCTAAAGTCAGTTCCTGATCAACCGGGCTGTGGCTCGTACGTTGGTTTGCGTGCAGCCAGCAGCAACAGCCTGGTTGATCAGGCGCTGATCCACCAGGAGGCCTGGTCACAGACCGGGCCGCGGGGGCGTTGACCCCCGAAACTCTCTCCAGGTAAACTCCAGGTAATACATACAAGTATTTTACATGTTCTAGTCTGTGTACACATACGTGCTTCTAAAACAAACACGTGTATTCTTTCAACACCGTATGTGCTGGTCACCCCATTAACAATCTCATTTACCCATGGTAGCCTCTGGTAACAATGGATGGCCGCATGGACCAGGTTTGTTATATTGGAGACAAGGCTGGATAAATTAGGCGATATATAGTGAGCTGGAGTACAGGTGATGGTGATGGCCAAGTTTATCAGACGTGTCCAGTGATGCTGAGGCAGAAGATACAAAATATGGTAAGTGTTGCAGGTGTCTGGTGTTTTCAGTATTATTTACAACAAGAATGTGTCCAGTATACTATCCGTACGCTTGGTGTTTATTGCATTAAAATACCCTTTGGTCTAAACTAGGTCATAGTGACATTACCAGGTCACAGATACATTACCAGAACAAACTAACATCATTGGGTCACAGTAAATCCACTAGAAGACTAGCGTAACTATGCTAGTAACATCAATAGGTCGCAGCAAGTCAGTGGACACTTGTGAAAGTAATGAGACATTACGGCCTCATGTAGCGTGACAAAGCTCCTGGTGAGCGAAACGCTGCCGTAATAAAATGTTTTATTTGTTTCACGTGTCCATTTACCTAACATATTGCCGGTATTTTATTACTAACAACCAGGTCACAGTAAGATGAACTAAGTCGCACTAACATGAACTAAGCCACAGTGCCATCAGCTAAGTCACAGTATCATCAACTAAGTCACAGTATCATCAAATAAGTCACAGTATCATCAACTAAGTCACAATATCATCAACTAAGTCACAGTATCATCAACTAAGTCACAGTATCATCAGCTGAGTCACAGGAACACCAAGTCACAGTAACAACTAGATCATAGAAGCATCAATTAAGTCACAGTACCATCAATTAAGTCACAGTACCATCAATTAAGTCACAGTAACCTCGACTAGGTCGCAGTAACATCAACTAGGTCACAGTAGCATCACTAAGAAACAGTGATGTTACCGGATACAAGGAGTCACCTTGATACACGGTGAGTCTGAGTCGAGTCCGCTCTGGCTTCAGCAAGGAAGTAGTGGAGTGGAACAAATGCGTTCATCATGACCGGCAACGATGAATCGTAATCATCTTCATAAACTTCAGAGTTGTTGGTGCGGGTGAGCGGTTGGAGGTAGAAGTCTCACCGAAGCCTGTAAATAAAGGTGGAGATTCATCCTAGAGACAGGGTTTTATAACCTTGAGGTAGAAGACTGAAAAAAGCTTTTCTCTTCATTATTAAACAAAAATATCTCTGATTCGAAATTTCACACGAGCTCTCTAAATGTTATGCTTCCTGCTTGATGTACATGCAGAAATCATCAGATGACGGGTGTCGCTCTGTTTAGTAAACATTCCAGTGGCGGAAGTGAAATCTAGAGCGATGGTAGTGTTTGGAGACAGGTGGTGGAGCAAGTATGGTCATAGCAACATGTTGTAGGTAAGAAGTAAGGGCATGTACTCAAACCTCACAGTAATTACATAAGCCAGGGGTCCCCTAAATTTTTAGTCTGCGTACCCGACTGTAACTGAATAAGCAGAAAGTGGATGGGGTGCTCGAATCATGGCCCTGGTAGTGGCAGGGATCATGCTTAATGTGTTTACAACGGCACGCATCATGACCCACATTCATTACCTACGTTATACAATCGTCATGTGTTTACAAATGCACTAAAGCATAATCCCACGTATTTCAAGAGTTAACATTATGACACCTTGTGAATATGAATGATAAAGCAAAAATACAAAAATAGCAGTGTAAATAAAAGGTATTTTTTTTTTAACATTTTCTGAATCTCAGCAGACATGACAGACAAGTTGGGAGTCACTGAGGACACCTCTCGTAGATCTTTCTCAATATCCATCTTCTGTATTTTGTTTCTTTGCCAGTTTATCCCATGCTAACCAGATATCTATGTCGGATGCGTGAACGTATTTTGATTGATAGCTAAGTAAGTAAGTAAGTAAGTAAATTTATTCAGGTATACACAATACAGTTACATAGAATTATCATACATAGCAGCATATGTGTAGAGAACCTAGGATAACCCAAAAAAGTCAGACAGAGTGACTTATTTCCATTGTTGTTATATATGCTTTTCAGTACATGAATTCCTCTGATTTCCGCTTCTTTATTCCAGCTTCATTATAGTCAGTATAAAATAAAATAGCTGACAGGTCCCACAGGCACCTCTAAAAACGCACAATAACGACAAACAACAATCACACTAATAGTGGACAGTCACTGTTGGCTGTGTACACCATCCCGCTATGATTACAACCTGTAAACTGTCTTCGTCACACCTTATACTGTGTGCACGCTACAGGATGTGTGTGCACTCTACAAGATGTGTGTGCACGCTACAAGATGTGTGCGCACGCTACAAGATGTGTGTGCACGCTACAAGATGTGTGTGCACGCTACAAGATGTGTGCGCACACTACAAGATGTGTGTGCACGCTACAAGATGTGTGTGCACTCTACAAGATGTGTGTGCACGCTACAAGATGTGTGTGCACGCTACAAGATGTGTATGCACGCTACAAGATATGTGTGCACGCTACAAGATGTGTGTGCACGCTACAAGATGTGTGCAGTTCAACACCCATCACTTGACGAGCCAAGTTTACAGTGTATCCCAATTGATTCGTTTGTTTTATATTCATATAACCTGCCACTAGACGATAAGAGAAACATTTCCTTCATTTCTCGAGTCTTACGTATGAGAGTCGTGAAGGATAATTCCGAAATAATCGAGTTATCACATCAGATGCATGAATATATTGAGTGAAATACTTAAAACTTAACTCTGCTTCATTGATTATATTGGTCACTATTAAAGAAACGTCGAATATGATTCAAATCTGATGAGAAGGATATTACATGTGGAGCTTGTCATGCAGTGAATCTTCTGGCGCACCTCCAGCAATGCACGCACCACCAGTATTGCACGCACCACCGGTAATGCACGCACCACCAATAGTGCACGCACCAGCAATGCACGCACCACCAGCAATGCATGCACCACCAGCAATGCACGCACCACCAGCAATGCACGCACCACCAGCAATGCACGCACCTGCATCAGTAAATGCATCACAGTTTGGAGATCACTAATATAAAATAAGGTTAATATGAAAGTTATTCTCATATAGAGAGTTCCATAAATCTCCAACCATAAAGTATATTAAAAAAAAAACAAAGACTTTTATTCCTAGAACTGAGACAAATACAGAGGAAGTATCCAGTCAACAAGTACACAGTGAATGATGTGTGTTACTCACCTTGTTGTTACTCACCTTGTTACTAACCTTGTTGTTACTCACCTTGTTGTTACTCACCTTGTTACTAACCTTGTTGTTACTCACCTTGTTGTTACTCACCTTGTTACTAACCTTGTTGTTACTCACCTTGTTGTTACTCACCTTGTTACTAACCTTGTTGTTACTCACCTTGTTGTTACTCACCTTCTTGTGGTTGCAGGGGTCGAGTCATAGCTCCTGGCCCCGCCTCTTCACTAGCCTCTACTAGGTCACTCCCTGCACCATGAGCTTTATCATACCTCTGCTTGAAGCTATGAATGGATCCTGCCTCCACTACATCGCTTCCCAAACTACTCCACTTTCTGACTACTCTGTGACTGAAGAAATACTTCCTAACATCCCTGGGACTAGCCTTGTTTCAAACCTTTGCACTTTCTCTAGTTTCTTTACGTGCTTGGCTAGATGTGGGTTCCAAACTGGTGCCGCATACTCCAATATGGGCCTAAAGCACACAGTGTACAGGGTCCTGAACGATTCCTTATTAAGATGGCGGAATGGTGTTCTTAGGTTTGCCAGGCGCCCATATGCTGCAGCAGTTATTTGGTTGATGTGCGCTTCAGGAGATGTGCCTGGTGTTATACTCACCCCAAGATCTTTTTCCTTGAGTGAGGTTTGTAGTCTCTGGCTCCCTAGACTGTACTTCGTCTGCGGTCTTCTTTGCCCTTCCCCAATCTTCATGACTTTGCACTTGGTGGG